GGTCTTTTATTTAATTTAAAAGAAGGAAAATCAAACAATGATACTAAGAGAAAATTTTGAGACAAATTTCTTGTGACCATTAATGGTTACGAAATTTTCGTAAAATTTGATCGTTGTAAATCATTATTCTTTAGATAAAAAATTAATTTTGAAATATATAAAAATTAATCCAAAACACAACTATTCAAAAAAAAATATATAGTACTGTAATCAATATAAAATTTAATCAGATATATATTTTATAATATGTTTTTTTTCTATTAAACCAAACTCTACCAAAAAAAAAAAAAATCCAATTTAGCCAAATGAAAAAAGGGACCAGAATCCACTGACCTAATCGATATTTACATTAATTCAAACGTCTTCCAAGGTGAGATGCTACCAATTATTTTGAGAAGTCAACTTGATCATGTGTTATTGTATTTAAGAAGATATGTAGTTACATAATTATGTTAATTTAAAATTCATTAATGAGTTTGATATAAATTAATATTAAGATTTAGACTCTAATTTATTATACACTTTTCTATGTATATATAAAATTTTTTTTCTTGATGGTCTCTGTTTTATATATATTTTTTCCTCTTTTTTTTTTTTTATGCTTGATCAATCTGGATCTTCTCAAATTATTGCCAAAGGCTTTTCAATATCAACCATGAACTATGTTATTTTAATTAGGCTTACAGCACTCAAAAAGAAGGATAATGATGAACAGTAAAAGAAAAACAAAAATGAAAATGCTAAATAGGCTATCGCAATGGAGCCGAAATTGAGGCGGATTAGGACTTGGTTTTTCAGCATGCTTCGTACATATCTCTTTTCACATAACTTAATTAATTTTAGTTAATTTTTTATTTATTTTTAATTAATGTTTTAGGAGTATATGTCTTTTGAATAGTAAAAAATTAAAAGAAAAATCTATAGCCACATCATAATAATGACAAAGGATGCTTAAATATTATTTATTTTAATAATTATATATCATACAATATTTTTTAAATTGGTTAAAATCTCAATTTGCTCTCTCTACTTTGATAAAAAGTTTCTTTTTAAAACCTCTACTTAAAAAACCTCTTTTTGGTCTCTAAAATTTAAAATTTGATTTTTTTTTAGCTGCTTTATTAAGTTTTAACATTAGAAAACAGAAATTTTCAAAGTAAAGGGACCAAAAAGGAACTTTTTCCCAAAGTATTTGGTCCCTTTACTTTGAAATTTCCATCATTTAATATGCCACATGTGCAAAGCTTAACAACAAAAGCCCACTTTTAGCTCTTTACCTGAATAAATTTGTAGGTTTTAACTCATCACCTTATATTATAATATTTTTAGCCCATCACTTATATGAATTGAAGAAAATAACCCTTACTTAACGTTAGGTTATAATGTTTTGTTAGTTCTATTAACTGATTGTTAATTTTGTCAGCTGACTGTTAACTTTATTAACTGACTGTTAGTATTTCGTTAAAAAAACTAACAAATTAAATTAAATTTAAATTTTATATTTTTTATAACGAAATACTAACAGTTAACTAATAGAACTAACAGTCAAATAACAAGATATTAAATAAGAGCTATTTTCTCCAATTTGTATAGGTGAGAGGGTGAGAGGGTGAGAGGGTAAGAGTGTCATAGTACAAGGTGAAGAGTTAAAACTTACAAACATATTAAGGTAAAGGGCTAAAAGTAGGTTTTTGCCAAACTTAATGAGGTTAAAAAAGGGGTCAAATTTCAAATTTTAGGGATCAAAAGGGGTTTTTTTAAGTTAAGGGACTAAAAAGGGGCCTTAACCAAAGTAGAGGGACCAAAACATAGATTTAACCTTTTAAATTTTAATTAATAATTAATAAAATTTACTATATGTTATTTTTTATTTTTTATTTTTTTGAACGTATTTTGCAAGGGCAAGTTTTGAACCCTGCCGGGGGAAGGGGAATGCACCGTGGTTATGCCACTAGACCTCAAGGGCCAGTGCACTATATGTTATTTATAGTTACAATGCAATATAATTCAATATAATTATAACTACAATTATAATTACAATTACAATACTTTACAATAATATGAAATGCACTCTAAGCCTTAGTTGAAAAGTTCATCTCTTCCATCTCTTTTTACCCTCTCAAATCAAACATACTCTAAAAAGAATAGTTACCAATAAATATGCACTCATAATTTAAAATAAGAAAACTTTTTAAAAAATTCACGTTGGAATTTCAAAAATGTTAGACCATCAATTTCAAAATAAGTATTGTATTATTTTTTTTAACTTTTTATTTTCACACATCAAGGACCTCTTTACTATTTTTATTAATAGAACATCCAGGTGGTTCAATCTGTGGGAGTGAAGGGTGAAGAAGGAGGTTAAATAAATTCAAACTCTAACCAGTGAGTGAAAAAGCCTTTTACATTTTGATAATTAGCCGGTGAGCTTGAAGACCTTCCTTAAGAACCTTTTTGGTTAGATGCCCATTTTACTAAGAAAGTTTTTAGTAAAAATGTAATTGAAAATGTACCATATAGAGAGTTAGTAAGTTTAGAGTTTTGTTGAATAGCAAAAATTGAAAGTAAAGTTATCGGTGGGTTTATGTATAAAAATTTATGGCTCTTTAAAAATTGTGAGAAAAAAAGTTTATTAGTTGAAAATTATGTAAAAAAAATACTAAAAAAATCAAATTTACCCTCTTTTATTATAATATTAAAGTGTAAGATACATAAATAAATCTAAAGAATCTGAGTAGGGGAAAATAGGAGAAAGAATCCAAGGGGGAAAATAGGGAAAAACCTTCTTCCCAAATCATACAAACCATAAGAGATAAAGATAAAAGAACCTTTTGTAATATGACGAGTAATTGAAGTTAACTAATAATGAAAGGGTTAAAGTAGAAAAAAATATCTATTTTCCTTAAAATATGAAAAAAATAAAAAGTAATCCAAAACAAAATTTAAATCCAAAAACAACTATTATTCTATTAAAAAATCTATGTGCACTCACTCTTCTTTTTTTTTTTTTTTTTTTGTGTGTGTGGTATATCTTATAATGAGTCATTTAAGAGGAGATAATCTTCTCATTTTCTCAAATCTTTCTTTACTTGACTCAAGATTTAAATTCAAGATTTTCAATTTTAAATTTTAAATTTTTAATCAATTGAGCCATCCATTAGAAGTTATGTGTATTTACTCTAGTATAAAACTTTATTTGGTTTTATTTTATAATGACTCATTAATCTCACATATTCAAGAAATTGATATGATAACGAGAATGTTTTTATGGTCTAATGGCCACCTCCTTCTTGTAAAAGGCTTTTCATGCTTAATTTGACAAGTGTGGAGTTCAAATCTCACCCCATCATTCAAAAAAAAAAAAAAGAAAGAAAGAAAAGAAAAGAGAATGATATGATAACAATATGTTTCAGTAATTTAATATTTCTTTTAAATTTTGTCAAATAAGTACTCTTTTTGTCTCAAAATAATTCTTGCTCTTTTACTTTGAATTTGTTTTGAATTAATTGTCTTTTTTATTTTTTAAAGTACATGGATTTTTTTTTCTTAGTTTAACTTTATCATCATTTATTTATTTTGATTAATTATTCTATTACAAAAAATCTAACTTTATCTTTTAGCTTTTTTTAAAGATAATATAAATAAATATATGAATTATCCTTAAATCTTTAATTTAGAGAAAAAATTGAAAAACAATAGTTAATGGATGGAAAGAGTAAAAATTTTATATATTAAGCAACAAAATAAACTTTTGCCACCCAAAGCAGCAACATAATATGTTTAAAGGCTTTCGGCCAGAAAAATTTTTGTTTAAAACCAAAAGAAATTGTTTATCCGTTACCATTGATTAACGAAAACCATTCTGATAAAAAAATTGATTAACTAAAATAATTTTTCAAAGAAATTTTTGTTTAATTACTAAAAAAATATTTTTGTAAATATCAAACTCTGGTGAAACCTTACAAGCTAAAAGGAGAGGCTGAAGCAAGACAATTCTGTAAAAAGCATACACATTGAGGCAATCCTATATATAATGTGAGGAACTTATGATGTTTACAGATATTGTCTCATTCACACATGTTACAAAAGTTTCAATTTCAGTTTGGTTGCATTCAAGATTCCAAGAATTGATCAAGGCTTTCTGCTCATGGACCACTTCACCGGTGTTGCTGATTTGTTGAAGGTCTAGTATCTCCACCCTGCGATTAGTTTTCTTCCTTATTTTGATGGCCACCTCCTGTGGTGTAAATCTGCCACAAACAAATACCCTGCTCTGCTGCTTCTCTATCAAATGTTTCTCCAACCCTTTAATATCATCAAAAGGATTGAAAAATAAAATTAAGATAATGATTGATACACTCCATATTCAACAAATTATACAATATATTTATTAAAAAATTATTATTATTTTGTTTAAAATAAAAAATAAATAAACTTAAAAATACAATTACGCATATGGAATACAAGAACCAACTAAATTAATCATACTTAATTATATTTTAATGATTAAATCAAACAAATATCAAATAGAGAGTGTAGCAATCATTTTCTCAAAAATTATATACTTGACCCTAACAACTTCAATTAGATGATTTGGAAATAACTAATAGCTAATAGTTGATATGATACTTCTTGTTATCTATAATTCAAAAACCCAGTTTTGTTTGATTAGAAAAAACAACTATTAGTTATTTGCTAACAGCTAAACCATTCGGACTTAAGTTTAATTGAAATCTCACCTCGGATATTTTGCAGGGCTGTTCTTACTTTTTTGGAGCAACCGTTGCAGTCAATGTTGATCCTCATAACCATGCACCAATACGGCTACCATTTTCGACATGAAAAAATTATGAGTATGGAGAGCGACATGTCTCACTTATGATATGAATTTTTGCTGATGAAATTTGTGGGGCAAATACTGGGACATACCTTTTCTGTCATGAGGCCTGCAAGAGGCGTTTCCGGAGGGCAAGATTGGAAGCTGCAGGTAGGGGACAACAGAAAAGGGGATGTTAAAAAGGCGTCGTCGATGGGATTTATCATTCATGAAGTGGTATATGAGAATCTTCCCCCTTTTGATTTGGAATCTGATTCTGTGGTTGCTTAGCAGGGTTGGGTCTTGGGTGTTATTCCTGACTTCTTTGTGTTGCTTTTGTGTAGATTTAAAATGTGCATCTATGTTAATTAAGGAGGGCATCCTTTTGCTTTCGCTGTAAACTATTCTTCTAAACAGACCAGGGCGTCCATTTTTATAATCTTTGATGGGAATTCTAAACAGAAGTTGCAGGTTCGAATTTGAACGGAGGGGAGGGCATCCTTTTTTATGAAAAATACAGATCAGGGCATCTCTTTTGTGGACATTCTGGATTGAGGAATAGAAAATATAAGAATAACAAAAAAGTTTCTGCAATTCATTCATCCAATAATTCTTATTTTGTCATTTTGTATAGTCTGGATTACAAAACAGTGACTCTAAGAATAAAGTTCTCCAGTTTCCTTCCTGAGATGAGATGCCAATTGAACTAATGAGATGTTTTTTACTGGTTACTTCTAGAAAAATTCCATAACTCTTGGTTCATGTACTGATTACACAACCAAAGAAAATCATGCTTTAGATATTCCTCTATGTTACTGACACAAAACACATTAATAGTTCACTTAATCTCTTAAAAAACTATTACAATCTCGATGTCCTCATTTTTCCTGAACTCTCCTGGAGGGTCGACGAGATAGACTGTTGTATGTAGCAGTAATTTTCCTAGAAGATCCTTCACATTGGAGGACAGATTCACGAGTCTTAAGTGTCACTTTCTTCTCCAATACATAAACCACCATGGACTCCATATCTGCAAATAGATATATATATGCCGTAGAGGAAACCAGATTAAGTGTAAAACTAGACTGGTTTTGGCCTTGTTTAGATCATATTTGTCTCAGTTTGCAAGAAATATGATCATGAA